TAATTTTACTACCATGTCCGTTAAAAACTTTTATATGTATTCTATCAAAATTCTTTGTGATCCGCTACCTGTCTCATCCCTCGGCGCCCTTTATGTTTTTTCTTTGCCTAAACTATCTCTATTGTAAGTTTTTTTTCAAGATTGAATTACGGGTTTGTGAGGTTGCAGCCAACATTCGACACGGCCACATTCCGGCTGCTAATTTGGTAGTATTAAATGAAACACCCATGTTGTGATGGAACGGATACTATGCTCTCTTTTTATCTTTATATGATAGAAAGGATAGGAAGGTGGATCATATTTTATAATGGATCATGGTGTAGCGTGCTCTTGATTACGTTCTGTGCTGACACACGCAAGCTTGAATGAAGTTTCGGATGGTCGGCTTTGGATAGAAAGTTTGAAGACACTATAAGATAATTATTAAATAGCAAGAATGCCTTGCCATTTCATATTATCTTATAGTGTATTCTTTAATGAAAACAAGTCACAGACAAATGTCCATTATAAGTCACTGGCACTAAAAATTCTGCTTGGATACCATGCCTCCTAAATACTAATCATAAACCACTCCTAAAGACCTATGTGTGCTTGATGATCCTGTGATGGAGCACGCGTATCAGGATAAATTTCTGTCAGAAAATTCTCGATATTGTTATAAAATCTATTAGAGACCAAAGATAGTTTGGGTTTAAAGCCGTTGTACTTTGAATTCTTTATCTATATGTTACGTAAAATATTCTTTGTAACCCATTTTAAATAAATATTGTGCACAGCAGCACATATTTTTTAGAATTATTAAAGAAGATAATATTATTATTATATTTATTATATTATAGAATTATTATATTAGATTCATAGAAGAAGCGCAGAAAGCTAAATATTTTAAACAATATCATATTTTAAATTATAGATTTAAAAATTATGATAAAAAGGCTACATGAAAGTGAAGGGATACATTTAGACCTGTCACGGTACAAAATGGTACCGTTCAAGTTATATTGGTTATTCGAACATAACAACACATTCAAAAATTTCGAAATTAAAGCGACAGGTAATCGCCAGTTATACCTATTTGTAGGTAGGCATAAAATTAAAATAAAATCACTAAGAGTTTGCTTCAATTCAGACGGGCTTAGTGGTTAGTGACCCTGACTGCCAAGCCAGAGGATTCGATTCCAAATAATTCATGTGTGATGAGCACGGTTATTATTTTTATGTCTGGGTGTAATTTATCCATAATATTTTTATATTTTAAAATTCACATTAATATACTCGTACCTATATTACCTATCTCTTCAAGGTTTGCCAATTAGCTTTAATATTATGTATTAGCATATTCATCCACTCTATGTATCTACCAAGGATTACTATTATTGGCAACTCATGTAATCATAGTTAAATACCTAGTTAAGAATTGCAGTTAAAGAAAAAATAAACAAATAAAATATGTGTATATTTATATATTTAGATATATTTAGGTAAGCATGTTTATCAGCAGTCTGGTTACCATAGTACAGGATCTGCCTAGTTTGGGATCAGACGGCCCCATGTGCGATGTGTGAGGTTATTATATTATTTATTTGCCATTCAGATATAAAATATTGGGCTTGCACACAGTCGTAAAGAACGACATCGCCAGCTGTTGAATAACACGTGAGTAGGGATCAGTTGAGGGGATATAAGGTGTGGTTTTGTTTGGCAGTTCTACTGCCACCTGTTATTAAATATTGGCCTACTTACAAACGTTATATCGGTTCGTTGGTTAGTATTTTTTTATTAATTATGACCATTACAACATTCATGCATTTTACATACACATACAAATTTTACATGGTTATAATTGTAGAGCTAACCATTCCTAATCTGCCTTCCTTTAACTAAAAAGCCGCTACCCCTCAAGTTGCTAATGTGAACCTTTTATTGCGAAGTAATAAAATTCAAAATTAAAAAACCTTTTTGTGTAAATAACTAACTAATATAATGTACCTATCAAGTTGCAGATATGAAACAGTAAAAAATTGTTAACAAGCTAGTACTTTAATACGAGTTGTTAAGAGTTCTCTATACAATGGTTTCAGGTTAGATTTCATCAGTCTTAACAAACGCAGTGTTTACAAAGCATTTATGTCAATTGACGTAATTATTACACCATTCGTCACCGTCCGGTGTCAATCGTGGCCGGTGATTTTATAACAAGACTAATAGAATATTGATCACAGGGTTTTGTAGAAGAATAAGCAATACAGAGGAAACAAACCATATTCATATCTACACTAATAATATTAAGCTGAAAAATTTGTTTGTTTGGTCACATCCGCTGATCTCAGGAACTACTGGTTCAAATTAAAACTTATTTCAGTGTAGCCTTTTCTTTTTGTCTTCATGGAAGATGGGGCGAGCGAGCAGACGAGTCACCTGATGGAAAGTAACTACCGCCGTGCATGAAAGCCTGTAACTCAAAAGTCACAAGCGCGTTGCCGGCCTTTGAGGAAGGAATATGCTCTTTTTTTAAGGTTTGGAGGTCGTATCGGTCCGGAAATACCGCAGACGATAACTTGTTCCACAGATTGGTGTCAACATTGACTGTAATGTGAAAAATTGAATCCGTAATCCGTAGTCTTAATAATTTACTATTTTACTAGGAAAGTAACTTTTATGACAGTTGCGAGATCGAAAGTTGATCGGAACTGAATTGTGACCAAACTTATTATCTTCTTGAAGAATTTGTCTTCAGACCTGTTCGAGATGTTGCTTATACTTCACAGCCCGTATAAGCGAAATCTCTTATTTTCTTATCTTTTTTTTATAGTACGAGTAGGCAAAGGAGCAGACTACCGTTGCCCATGGACACCTGCAACTCAAGAGTCCCTCCCTTTAAAATCGTGGGGAGGTGGAGGGTTTGGGTTCCGGTAACGTCACTTATTCAGCGAAAAGCAACGAATAAGCTGCCTATCACCGGTTATCTGTGGTCTATTTGCCCCAAACTGTCCCTCAATCGTCAGTTCACGACAATAATAGTCCCAATTTTATTGAATGGAACCAAATTTTTGTTGGCTATTGACGATGCAATACGACTCCTACCTACCGGATTTGGTGGTTAGTGATTCTGACTGCTAAACCAGAGGTCGTAGGTTCCATTACCACCCAGAACGCACAATCGTTTGACAAACGTTCTGTATCTCCTTATAATTTAAATATTTTTAGTAAATATAAGTATGTTTATCGACAGTACAGGCTCTGTCTATTTCGATCAGACGTCTGTGTGTAGTTATTATTACATACATAAGTGTAAGTATGTACCAATAATGCTTCCAAAATAATTTTATTAATATTTACGTTACTTTGGCTTCTCACGCTGGGTGGTTAAATTTAATTCACGGTCGCACACCTTGTGCTTTGAAGTTCATGGTCGTATTATAAGCAAATTTATTACATGGTTTAACATTGAAGGACAGTTATTGTAATCTACATGTTCCTCCAAGTTTTTAGAAGGTTCCTGGAACCAGTGAGCTTGACTAGACCTAATCATTTTGAGTGCACCGATTCGATTCTAGTCATTTTCGTATAAATGACGCCACTCGTATTTACGAATGGTAAGTCAACGGTCTTAGTTCTCAACTCTCCAGTGCGTATTTTCGAGTGTTATAGGTTCGTTTCAAAATATTGTATGAAAAGTTTGTGTAATACATAGTTATTTAAAGGTTAAGTCGTGTTCTTTGTTGTTGTTGCATCGTTTATTAAGTGTCGGTGAAACAGAAGTCGTTTCCTAATGCAGGAGCTGTCTTTATATAAGTAAAATGAATACTCGAATTCACCTAAAGGTGTGTGTAATATATAGAATTTTTGTCGTGTTCCCGAAAATTAGCTAATAGTTTCGTACTATTATTATTAATGTCCAGTCAAAGGGTACAAAACAACACACGGGTACATCCAATTACGAAAAACAATAAGCATATTTAAATTTATCAACTCAGCGCACACTCAACTCAGTTTATTTTTTTTATTACTAGAGAGAGAGAGAGATATATATATCTCTCTAGTAGTAAAAAAAATAATCTGTAAAGAAGCTAATTGATTTATTGGACACTGCATTACATATAATTTTTCAATGTTAATCTTCTCTTTCATTTCCGTGAACGTACGTGACGTGCCACAGGTATCCACTCATTAAATGATATCATTTCCATTATGATTTAACCATATAAGAGGTTTGAAAGCCTCTGTCTTTATGTCCAAACAGGTCATTAGTTATCAACTGTGAGTCATTTAACCGTTCAGTAATATTTTTGTATTTTTATGTGCAGACCACTTTCCTTTAAGACATTGGAAAGGAAGGACGGCTGTCACGACGACTTATTCCAGTAAGGATAATCCACTATAATGTGGGACGTTGATCACGCACATGATTTAGCGATAAACTACTAAATGTTCAAGTAATTTGTATTACTTGAAACGCAATTTGCGTAATAGTAATACAGAGCACGTTATTTTGTCATAAGTCATACTGAATGAGCAATTACCGTTTTGTTATAATTTTGACAAGTGAACACACAACAACAATGGCCACTGCAGCGTTTAAAGTTAAGAAATATAATGCGCTTACAACAGAGTTACTTCGAGGACACGAGCACCGTAACAGTCGACCTTTGCGCGCACTGACATTTCACCTCCTCTGTACATAAATGATGCTATATAAAATATAATGACTTACTACACCAATTGCCTCGTGACAAATTGGCTTTTCAATAAAGACAATACATTGATCCAGAACAAGGCTACACAAATCATTACATTCTCCCTACGATCCCTACGACCAATATAGCTCCTCACCACAGGGTCAAAGGCGCAATAAAACTGCTGTATAATAGACAATACATCTCATTTTATTTATATTAGGTACATCTATAACAATACTTTTAACAGTCTTAAAACGAACGACTTAGTGAGATAGCGGTCAACGCCTAGTTCTATCTACAATATTTACAAAAAAGTATGCGTCAGGCGCACGTGAGTGAGGTAAAGGCGCGCGGCACGGGGTTAGGCGGCGCACTGTGGCGTTGCACGCCGCAACTGCCCGCGCCGCGCGCCACCGCCTCGAAGAACTGCCTGAGATCGCTCACTGAACGCGTTGGCGGTGCTTGTAGGTCGTGAAGTGACGTGGCCCTTCTCGGGGTTGTCTCCGAGGGTGTTCTCTCGATACGAGCTAATTGCTCGCTGCTTCGTGCTAGACTACTCGCCGTAGTTCGGGACATCGATTCAAATAAGGCCCTCCGTTCTCGCACAGGTACATACTTAGCTACAGCTTCATGTACATTCGGGGAGCATGATCTCGCACGATTTTCCATCGATGCAGTTTTGCGTCTAGCCGCTTCAATTGCGTACCGGCCCCTTTCTGCGCCTCCTACCGTCCCCTCCCATCTTTTCAAGTATCGGCGACCTTCTGTTTCTAAGCGTGCGGCACGCGGCAAAGTGTGATGTTGCTGCGTTCCCGCGTTTAGTTTGCTACAATTGTCACATTTGATTACCTCTGACATCCGTACTGGCGCATCGACCACGTCTGTGGTCTTCAAGGCGTCGAGGGACAGGGTTAAGTCAAGGCTGCGGTCAGACGAAGAGTCGTAGTCGTCGTCTTCGACGACGATGCCCTCATCTGTTGCTGCGGGGGAATGATCTCTGCGCGGCAGTAATGTCTCAGTCGACGTCAGCAACCTCCGGCGAGCTCGCGGGGGAGCTTTTGGCGGGTATAAGGGAGTCTCATGTTGAGACGTTTCTTTCTTTGGTTCCCGGATGGCAGTGTCCGTAGCGGGTAACACGTCCAAAAATCGTACTTGTGGTAAATGAGTTTGGCCCAGGATTTCGACACATAGCGCACGCACCCATCTCGTATATTCAGCAGCATTGCAAGTCTGCAACAATAAACTTAATTGTAACATTCAACTTGGAGAACAGATTTATGACTTAATCTAAAGGAATGTTTTATGATTTGCATATGATTTAAAAAAACCTTTATCCTTAAAATAAGTATAAAAAGTGGCAAGTTATTTTCATAGGGTGACAATAATAGTACATCTGATCTTGGGACAAAGTGAGTCACGGTCATATTGCATTAATAGATATTTTTTGTCCTGCCAGGATATTATGAAGGGGAGTTTTCTTAAACGTGTTTCTTTATATGTCAACACCTTCGCGCTTCTAGCCCTTCATACGGTGAATAGATGCATGAAAAGGTCGCGGTGCACAAAGGTCCGTGATTTACGGATGTTTCGTTATATTGAGGTCCATTAAAGTGTACGAATCGTGAGAAAGGCGTTACACGAAAGGGGTCCAACGTCTTGCAAGACGTGCATGACATTATACAGATACCTACTTATTGGTAAGACGCTCAAATGGGTTTTATATAATTGTTGTTTTTCTTTTAATTTTTGGAGATGATTTAACAATGTCTTATTTTACCAGACAGTAATGAGAAATTTAATATTGACAGCATCGAATTTTTATTAGATTAAGTACTTTCGATGTGTAAAACTTGTACCATGAAAAACAATGTATGGTTTAATACTATAATAGTGCACGCACGTAAGTAATCGCGAGCTTAGTGTATACCAGTACTGTGTACATAATAGTACATACTAAATGTGATACCGAGTGTCGATTTCTCAAACAAACAGCTCAAATTGTTTAACAGACATTTCGACTACCACGTCAAATACATTCGCAGAATATTCGCATCGATTTCATCGTGCGAATTAAAATGCGAATGTTGCTACGACTTACGTACGTATATAGCGAATTCACTGTCTTTCAGAATTGATTGGTGAATATACAAAACGTATTATTATTGCTAGAAAAGAGATGTTTAAACCTAATTTTAAAAAAAACCGTACAACTCCTACGTAAACATGGGGTATGGTAACATTTCTACAGGACTTTAAAGAAATATGTAAAAATATTTTAGTATTAATTGCAGGCAATAGTTTATCTTTATGTGTTAGTTTATAAAAATATCTTGCCAAAAATCTTAACGTGCTTCTCAAACATACACGTCGATGTATAAATATTTTTAATTTATTCTGGATTAGTTTGTTGATAGGGTCATGTAACATCTGTGTTGATAATTATTTATGAAAGCATTGTCTTCGAGACAATGAACGTTGTACGTGAATGTACATAGCATAGTAAGTACATGTGATATTGAACCACTACTATTACTTGTTGTGTATTGTACCTAAGCGTTTTTCTGATCACGTGTCATTCATAAGGTTTTTTTTTTTAATTTAAACAAATAGTTAGGTCATAGGAGCACATGGTAAAAACAAGAACATGACTTGGTTGCTAATGAACATGACTCTTTAAACCGTCGTTTATAACGTAAATAATAAATCGCAGTTTTCAATAAAGTAAATTATCTGCCCAAATGATAATCAAGATATTGAATTTTACAGAGATTAAATGTTCTAATGAAACGTTATTATTAAATCCGTAATAGAAACAATAGTACAACCATTTTATTGCTTCTTTGGGTACTTCTTATTCATTATTTTCATTTTGGCACAAAAAATATTCAAAGAATAATAATATATCGCTTTATTGTACACCAGATATAAATATACAATAATAAACTTAAAGTAGGTTAGTAGAAGAGGTGGCCTTATCGCTCAGATGCAATCTCTTACAGGCAACCGTATTATGGAGAGAAAACATGAAGGGGAGGAGGTATTGTGTAGTGGCTGGTGTATTAGGAAATAGAAAAGAAGATGAAATCAAAGTAATATATACATAACTATAAAAAGTCATAGTGACACAGTATCTATTTGTTGGACTAAGGTGAATACATAACATACTAGAGGGAATATACTATGTGCTGTACAGGGCTGGTGGTGTTATTAGATACATATAATTCAATAAATACGTGTGATTTATAAGTTCTAAATACATAAAGACTTGCAATGAATATGACTAGATCAAGACCTATATTTAATTTACTTAATCATTGCATAAAATTGTCTCGTAAAGTTTTACTATTGAAAATAGGCATTGCTTTACAAGTCTGGTTAATACGAGACGATATTCGAATTTACGTCTAGTCTTGGTGAGTTAAATTAGGGGTAGATTGCTTCTTCTTGCATTGAACAACGGTATTGTCGAAATCCTATTAATCCTATTAAGTGTTGGCTAAAAACTGAGTTACATATTTACAGTTACATAGGTACCAATTTTATTATACCGAAACTAAACACGAATCATTGATAATACTTCGTTCGGGAAAAGAATCGTGTGATTTACCGAGTAATCGCTAATCAAATTTTAATATTTGTGCTTGTGAAGTCAGTTACAGGCAATAAGTTAGCAATATAATATTATTATTATAGAAATACAATCACATGGTTCTCCGGTTCATTTCAATAACATGTACCTATAAACATCTCGTGATTTTTCAATTGGTTAAGTGCAAACAAGTGAGATGATTTGTGCAAACAAGTGACTGAACGTGTAGCTGCAATTTACAGAAACACAAAAAATTAGGATTTTTGTTGCATTGGTTTGTTAAGTTAGTGTAAAGTCATAAAATATATCTTAATTTATTTTTTAAGACAATTCCCGCATTAGGAATACCTACATATATCCTGTGTCGCGGGGGACTTACAAACATACATGAAACGGACACACTGAACACTCAGACTCAGAACAATTTGTGGATCACACAAAGTGTTGTTCCATGTGATGATCGAACCCACAACACTCAGCGCATGACGACCACTTAAACCATTACGCCATCCGTTAAGTCAATTATAGCCCGTATTATTGTTCAAATTGTTTTTAGAATATCATAATATATACAGAGTAGGGTATTTTGTTTAGGTTAACGGATAAACATCGATACCGATGTAAGCACATTACCTACGTATCCCGTAAAATATAATAAAACTTTAGAGGGCCTAGAGGGACAGTCCGTGTAGTGACGGATTAAGAATACAGAGTGTCACCACCCCTATTCATCCCGTGGGTGTCGTAAGAGCCGACTAAGGGAAAAAACTAAGCAGGATAACAGCACTGCAGAGAGAAGGAAAATTTGACACAAACCCTTTACCAACCCGTCTGGCCAGCGTGGTATAGTAGGCCAAAACCTCCTTTCTCAGGAGAGGCTTATGTCCAACAGTGGACTATTAAAGGCTGTTGATGATGATGATGATGATGATGATTAGAGGGCCTAGACTAGTAAGTTTATTTCACACCATTCTACTGGATCGTCACGGTGATTGCGAGTCGAGAGCGAATTGATGTGAAATAAACTCATACAAGGCCCTCAGAAGTTGTTTTTTGCAATGTTCTTGTTGCAAAAAAGTATTAAAAATCTTTTGAATAATCACCTGAAAAGTGGCGACGGCAGAGTCGTCGTGGAGCCTAGAGAGCTGGAACGCGTTTGGCAACAATGTAGCGGTGCGCAGGTGTAAATCCCTGAGTGGTAAGCGAGCCGCAGCTCTTCTGGGGAGAGTGCCATCCCGCCAAACGAGGAGGCAACCGCTTCGGACGGCTGCTCGCACCCAAGCCCAGGATTCTGTGTCGTCATTGTAATACTGACGGAGTACGCCTAAAGGACAAAAGAAATTGAGGTTAGATGGAAACCAAAGGTTTATTAAAAGCAAACATCATTTGCATACGAAAGCTATATCTAGCAAAATATGTATACTGCCTTATATTGGTTCACTGTTAAACTTGCTATCAGATCCAGCAAATAAATATTTAGACAAGTTGCTTAGACACCAGGACTAGGCAATTTGTCAATTAAGTGTCCATGTTTGGTAACATTGGACAAACATGGACACTTAATTGACAAAACTGGTAACGTTTCGGTGATTCCTAGGAGACGCTTATAACATCAAAAGTTTAAAACTGGGTTTTATGGTTCGCCGCATGTAATTAGAGTTGTTATATTAGTGAGGGAAAATATGTTTGATGTTGTGACTGTCAAATTCTTTGAAATTTATTAAATTTTATTCAATATACATATAGGAATATAACTGGACTTGTGTAGCTTGGGCCTATGGTAAGGAATGATAGTTCAACTTAGGTAGGTATACATGAAATGAATGAGTTTGATTTTAATTATTTATATCAATGACCCAAATCGTGGTTTATAATAATTATTATGGCCGAAATTTGTCGTGAAGCAATTGACGTAATCATCACCAAATAACGTCAATGTCACAGAGCGCCAAGTGTCCTGTTTAGGCCCTCATTGAACCAATTTTATTCGTGTTTATAACAAATATTTGTTCCAACACTAGATTACATCCATTATTACTATCTGTAGCTTGCCAGCAATAAGGCGATAATTCTTTAAAAGAAGTTGTCAAATAAAAAAGAACGTATACGTTTGATATTATTTGTGGCTAAATATATTATTTGGTGATAATACAGTGTGCCCTTCAAAAGCTTAATAAGAAAGAACTATACATATGTATCACATAGAAATATATAAAATACTGTGTTGTTCGCGACTAAAGGGTTAAAAACACTCGCAGCCACAATCAGAGACTATGATCATAAATTACCACAGCTGTCAATACAATCACAGAAGGAAAAGTTCAAGGACTTTGAATGGAGTAGGTATTATACACCATTCCATATTCAAACTTTCATTCGATTGTAAACGAATGATTGATCATTATTTATATAATGGATTTAGATAATTAATTTCGGTTAAAATATGCATGTTTGAATAATGAGTGCGCCTTTATGGGTCCTGTCAACTCGACGGACATACTTTTCCAATCGCCGGTCTTCAACTCGAGTTAAATCAAGCTATAACTGGCTAACTATGTAGGATGCCTACAGGCCAGGTGGAGTGACGATTTGTGTAAGATGGCTGGCAGGCGTTGGATGCGAGAAGCCGAAAATCGATTGAAGTGGCGTGCAATAGAAGAGGCCTATGTCCAGCAGTGGACTGCGAACGGCTGATAATGATTGTAACTGACAAACGTAAATATGTTTTTACATAAAAATTACAGGATAAGAAGTCAAATTAAAATCTAAAGCCAAGTAGAAAGCAGACCCCTTGGTAATGACAGTAATCCTTGTAACGCCTGTAACGGAGGTTTGAAGAACCACAAAGCAGATTCCATAGTAACCTCACATACCTCGACTTCCTAAGCACTCTCTCGTACAAAGTTCATATGAAAATACAATGACAAGTCAAACCACAATGCTGATAACTTCTACCCTTTGTGAAATATCTGACACAATTGTGTAAATAAAAACAATAGAACTCTTCCCTGAACAACATACAATAACCACGTTAAAAAGAAAGTTATCTCTTAAAATATTTTTCTCATGAAACAGAAAATAAATACAACGTGCAATAAAATAGAATGTCTCAACACTGTTTTTACGTCGACCAAAATTATTTAACACAATGACTATATACAAATATTAGCTTTGCCCGCGGTGCCGCTCATCTCTACACTAAATTTCATTATTGATTTCCCATTCAAACTTCCACCACCTTTTCACCCACTTAAAGGATGGTTTCTGTGATAAAAACTATCCATGTCAATCCCATGACTTAAAATATCTCTATACCAAATTCCATTTAAATCGGTTTAGTGGTTTAAGCGTGAAGAGGTTACAGATAGACAGACACACTTTCGCATTTATAATATTATTATTAGTTCGAGTTGGTAATATAATATTATATTATCAACTCGAACTTAGAAACACTGCCTTTCAACTCCAGCTATATAATATGCCAAGAGCAGAATTTTATTATTTATTTAAAATTCAAATTACAAAATGATCCATCACCTTAAAAATAAAAATTGTTGTCACCGTCCATGAAAAAATGGAAATAAGTTTGAAATGTTATGGTGATTGGCCCAACGGTATCGAATTTTATCAATACATACATATGGCGTCGGACATTAGACGTCATAGAAGATACAAACAATTAAGATAATTTTGTAAAAGAAGAAACTGACTGGCTGATTCACTGACTGGTCGGTCAACTATGCTCTCAGCAGGTTATCCTAGCATCCGGGAAACAGCAAATTCAAGACAATGGTACGCGATCCTGATCTGCTCTAACTAAATGTGAATCGGAGACCAGATATCCGGTTGCGTGTTCCTTTGGGTACACAATGCACATTAGCAGTGTCAACAACGTGATAAAACACTTTACATAAGGTCATGATATGTCTACAATATTCTTCAAACAGCGTGAGACGCGTCAAATCATTTCATTCAGGCAGATCTCGAATACATAATAGATAGTCGAATGAGCGCGTGGTAATAACTTGAATAACTAATGTTTATCTATACTAATATTATAAAGCTGAAGAGTTTGTTTGTTTGTTTATTTGTTTGTTTGTTTGAACGCGCTAATCTCAGAAACTATTGGTCCGATTTGAAAAATTCTTTCAGTGTTAGATAGCCCATTTATCGAGGAAGGCTATAGGCTATAAATCATCACGCTAAGACCAATAGGAGCGGAGCACCAATGAAGAATGTTTCAAAAACGGAGAAAATTTATTACTATTGAGAGACGCAGACGAAGTTGCGCGGATCAGCTAGTATTTTATAAAACGAAGGCTATATTCTTCACGGTAACTATATTAAGCAACAGAACCTACATAAAACTGTTTATATAGCAGTGCAGACATAGATCTAGTAGGTGGTACAGTAGACAGTAAGCTTGATTGGAAATACCATTCAATGACGTATGTAAATTATATTAATCAATGTTAGTGTATATGTTTTATTTCATTCAATAATGCATGATTTTTTCACCTCAGAAGTTTTAAGAAAATTAGTATTTTAAGATGTTGTGATGTTTAAGATGTGTACGAGTATAATTACATATGTATCATCATCAACCGCCCTTACTGTGACTATTCCATTGTCTAAGGCCTATGTCCAGACATTTTGGCCTACTGTATTATGTCGGCCAAACGGGTTGGTATAGGGTTTGTGTCAAGTTGCGGCTCTGACCGCCCAGAATAGGGCACGCCTCTGGCGCCCTCAGAGGGTAATGGCGGTCAGAGCCATACGCGGTTACCGCACCGTTTCGACGGAAGTGGCGTGCGCGTTGGCCGGAACTCCCCCGTGGGATTTGGAGGCGGAAGTGCTCGCCGATGTTTATCGGCGAGTGGCTGACTCCCGGGCGGAAAGCGGATTTCGCCCTCCGCCCGAAGACGTGCGCGAGTGGCGCGAAGCCGCTCGCCGAGCCACGATGGCTCGTTGGTCGTTCCGGCTGGAGACTCCACGCGCTGGCTTCGCCGCCGGTCATCGCCGAGTGGGCAGGGCGGCAGCACGGGACCCTTACCTTCCGGCTGACGCAGGTGCTTTCCGGGCACGGTTGCTTCGGAAAGTACCTGCACTCGGTCGCTAGGAGGGAACTGAGTACCGCCTGCAGCCACTGCGACTGCAGTGAGGACTCGGCCCAGCACACGCTGACGGTCTGCCCCGCATGGGCGACGCAGCGCCGGGCCCTCACTGCAGTCATCGGAGTGGATCTCACGCTACCGGCCGTAGTACGCTCCATGGCCGGTAGCGACAGTTGTTTTACCGCGGTCGCAACCTTCTGCGAGGAAGTAATCTCGCAGAAGGAGGCGGCGGAGAAGGCCCGGGAGGACGACCTCCACTCGGACCCGATCCGCCGCCGGCGAACCGGGCGGCGGAGGCGCGCCTATCACTGCCTCATGCCGGCCCTGAGTGTGGCCGCGGGTGGTCGTCCGGACGTCGCCTAAAGAGAGGGAAATTTTGAGACGGGGCCCGCAACAGGAGCGGGCCGGCGCTAGTAGGGGTCCGGATGTCTTAATAACAGCTGTTCCCGGATCCCTCCTATTACAGGCGCAGAGTGGCACACCGTGTGGTTTTAGTCGGTCCGAGTCCGACACACCACCCCGCCGCAAACCCCGGTGGGGTGACGGTCCGAGGGGATTTCCACACGTTAAAAAAAAATAAAAAAAAAAGGGTTTGTGTCAAGTTTTTTTTTCTCTTTGGAGTGCTGTTGTCCTGAGTAGTTTGCTCCCTTAATCGGCTCTTACGACACCCACGGGATGAACAGGGGTGGTAAAACTCAGTATTCTTAATCCGTCACACACGGACAACTTGAATATATACATATAGGTATGATGTACGCTGCATGTGTACCTAAGTGTCTAAAAAAACGCTTTTATCACCAACAAACTAGCAAAGAGTATGGTGATGTTTGTTTCTAGAAACTGTTGTAGAAACAGAACCTATTTATAAGTAGATACCGAGCTCAAGATTGATATGTTATTCACCTATGTTAGTCACTTATGTTATTATATTGATGGAGTCGCAGTCTCTGCACATTTGTAATCAAGTGACTCGCGTGCATCTTGCACTTGACATATTGCACGTTTGTCAAGTAGAAACACGTAATCAGATATATGGTGTCTAACTTATTTATAACAACACCTGCATTATGTCTCTTAATAAAAATTCGTTTGAAGTTTAGTTCCACCGATCTACTCTGGATCTTACAAATTTTATAAAAGCCATTCGTATTAAATAGTAAATTTTATAAATTGAATCGTATTCTACAATCCGTAGTAAAAGTATTACTAAGACCAGCAGACTACCGATTCAATTTTCGGTCACAAAACGACATAATCACGTCGTACGTACAGTCAACGTTGGATGTTTAATACTTTACTACGCGAATACCTTTTGTGACATTTGTGAGATCGACAGTAGATCGGAACTGAATTTTTAATACAAGAATTGACCTTCAGACCGTAAATGAATACTTTTACAGTTACCTCTGAGAGGGAAGTTCAAAAAGGCAGTAGGTATCTGGTCAGTTGAGCATGACTACAGCCTTTATTAGTCACAGCATTGTTAACAATCCACACGTGCTATGAACCTTATTTATTTAAATGTGGTGTGTTCTTGAGGTGTGACTGTTTAACATTTTTTAGTTTGCTTTGCCTTGTCCTCCTTAGTGGGGGTGGTTTTGAATGTTGTTAAAATATAATTCTGTTTTTTTCACACATCTCAAACACAGTCTGATCAAAAACTTCCCAGACCACCAGACTTCTAATAAACATACTCATATATTCGTAAATATATACATTATCATCATCAGCCTATCGCAGTCCAAATACATACATATTACAGATAAATTACACCAAGACACAGAACAAACGATCGTGTTTATCAGACAATTATTTGTCCTGTGTGGAAATCGAACCCACGATCTCTAGCTTAGCAGTCAGGGTCACTAACCACTAAACCAACGGACCCGTCAAGTAAGTAACAAGTTACGGTCATTTATACATCTATAGGAACATACTTATCCACAGCTACTAATATTATTAATACGAAAGTGTGTCTGCCTGGTACCTTTCTACGCTTAAACAGCTGAACCGATGAAGATGAAATTTGGTATGGCGATAGTTTGATCCTTGACAAAGGATATAGGCCTTTTTACCGCGATAACCGACATACACGCAGGCAAAGCTAGTATATTATATGTGATTTTTCCCGTTAACTATTGGATTATAATCCATTCCCTTAGAACAATGATTTCTACCTCAATAATTATCTACTAAAATTGACATAAATGTAGACAACTAATTAGTAGGACCTTACCAAGAAACTCATAGCATTATTATTATCGGAGAGGGCTTATTTAGTGTCAGTTAAAGCATCTAACAGGCTGGTGTTAAACTACTTAAAAAGCCGCAAATTTACCAAACGGTTTATTTATAGAAAATTTTATTCTAGTTTTTTTAATCAAACCGAAACGAACCAAAGTAACCGATCTAGTTCGTGTTCGTAATTCAGGAAAAGCCATTTTATGTTCATATGGGCTTCAAATGGCAGAATACCAGCTTAAACCTCTAGTGCAATATTGTCCTTGCCTTGACACCAACTTAGCAATCCTTATCAATGAACGGTATTATGTCCTTAACCTAAACAAATTATTACAAACACCATAGGAATTCGCAGACAGTGTCAACAAACCTTTCAAGCAATAACAATAATACCTAAATTGGCGATTAAACAGTTTCTTTTGCATTTGTTGTTTACAATATTCTTATATAATGCATGTCAGCTGTATATTAAAATCATGGAATAATAACAGGATATTTTTACCGACATCCTTGAATTAGTAATGTATTAAGTGTTTACAATCGTACAGACGTGTATAGTACTCAAATTAAATTTATTACAATTCATCATGACATGCGCATTGATGTAAGTGACACTTTGTTAAAAGTTAATAATATAGGTATATTCTTATTGCGTCCGTGTGGTAACGGATTAAGAATACAGATTGTCACCACCCCTAGTCATTCCGTGGGTGTCAGAATAAGGCAGCAAACTCTGCAGGACATCACTGCAAAGAAGAAAACTTGAAACAAACTATGCCAATCCGTCTGGCCAGCGTAGTATAGTAGGCCAAAATATCTTTTCTAAAGAGAGACCTACGTCCATCAGTGGAATATAAGAAGCTGTTGATTCTTATTGCATTTTACATCTCCATTTTTATGGAAAGTTTTAGGCTATCATGGCTACGATTTAAGAACACAACAGAGGCCAGAAAGGGACGTGATACCTCTCGTACAAAATAGGTGATAGGACTTTTTTATCTTCTTGATCAGAGGTACGAAACACACAGATACAAAATAACAATGATAAATAACGTTATTCGTACGTTATGAACACATTGTCATTGACGATAAACAGCTGATTCCCATCTTAAGCACAACCGATTTATCTTCCTATTGTTGAACGCGAAAGATTCACGGTTCTTTTTCGGTTATGTTAGTTAAAGTTGTGACATTGTCAGGTAAGAATCGTATATTATAGAAGAGAGAAATATAAGAAAGGTATTGGAACTAGGTATTTTCGAAAATTTTGGGTGAAACTTTATTAAGTGTTAACAACAAAACGCTAATCATTTTTTATCATCATATACAATTTCATAAATACGTGTGATTGTATAATCAATAAACTTGTTCCGTAGAAAATAACTTTATACATATCTATAATGTATCCTTAACTATAATTATTGATTTTCGACAAGAAAACTCATGCGTCCGAGACTGATGAATGAATGATTAATTTTTATGAAAATAAACATATAGGTAATAAGTAGATACATAACTCTCTAAGATAACTATCTTAAATAAAATGCCTAAAAGCATTTACGACAGTATAGGTACTATAACTAATATATTTAGTTAAGTGCCTATCTACCTATAGTTCTTTCTTAATATTATATACATCTATCTATATCTAGTTCTAAATATTCTATTTACTTCGATCCCCCGTTTCTTTTGTCCACACTAAGGCCCCGATATATTTAATTTTTGTTTTATAGTTTTTCTTATATTATATACATACATGTGAAGCAACCCATTATCTTATTTAATGTATAGTTTCTTGCTACAGATAAAGATTAAAAAAGCCAGATACCTCAAAGGCAAACTACCATAACACCAGGTACCTAGGAATTTACTACACAATCATGATAACAGTAGCTTCCTTATAACAATAAATATTTTTCAATGTTTACATGGAAAGTATTCAGGCATGAATAAATCGATAAAAGAAAGTGGATGGTAGCTAGGTACCTATAAAGACGTTAAAGAAAAGGGTCTATACCTTCATATTAACTCTTCTGAAATTCTTGGCAAGGAACAAAACAAATATTAGTACTGGTATGCAAACCATTGTCCTGGGTAAAAAGCCTGACGCCTAGACTGTGGCTCCCGAAACTATCGATCGCAACTTGTCTAGACTTGACTAGTCTGTCTCCTTTCCCTAAAAAGGAGGTAGATTGTCAAGAACTTATGTGTAATGTCTATGAATAAAACGATCTAAAGTTCGATGATTAGAAGGCCAAGTGTGATTTAGATTTCCAGTTATTTTCGCAGATATATTACGAATATTTTATAACAAGACTTAACAGATGATACTTTGAAGGAAGAAAATTTCATCTTACATAGGCCTTGTAATTTATCCTATAAAATTTACCTAGGCCTTGTAAAATGTCGGAATCAGGGCTAAATTTGATGAACTTTTTTCATTAATTATGTACTACCATAACACTTAGAAAATATTTTTATGAGACAGCTATTTGGTATTGGTATTTCAATAGGATTTTGCAACATGCGAATTTCGTAAAACAACTCGGCAGTGTAGCATGTGCGAACCAACTCAACTGATGCGTTTGAACAAAGTATAGAACTAAAATTATTATATTGACGAACAAGACTTGCAAATAATTTGCAACCATCCGTTTCTTTTTATGATTATTTGTTTAATGGTTTTTTTAAAAGGCAGCAGATATTGCAAGAATCAGAACGAAAAAAAGGATACTGATGCCTACTCGACGGCATAAGCATACAATATTCTAATCGGTTTACGTATCTATACACAGGTAAACAATAATGCTATCACTTGTTAAATCTGATAATATAGTACTGTTTGCGATTTGTTTACTAACCTGATATCCTAAAATCAGGATCTACAGGCGTTGGAATAGGTCCAGGTGTCAATTCCGGTCGAAGTTTCCTCAAACCGGCCACCACCCGTGGTGCCGGCGACTGTTCTCCTACAAGCATCGCCTTACCACAACATTGCACAGAAAAACACTTTCCACCACTTCTAAATAACAATTCTCACAAATATATCACACAAACAAATCAGTTTCATAGCTTATTAGTTAACAAATTTTTATTCAAGTCAAAATATTTACTGTCAAATTCGTATTTAAACGTCGAAATAGTTCGTTACAAATTGCGCGCAGTGCATGTTGTCATTCGTTCAACACGACCACTCCCTATGCTACTTTCTTACTGACTGGCCTGGCCGGCCGGTTGTCGTGTCTGCTATCAATGAATGAAGTTGATTCGCGCGCCCCACTTTACCCACTTCACTACCTACCTACTATGTACAAGAAAAATTAACGACTGTTCCTGGTGTTGGTCCTCTATTGGTGAGTAGCACAAAACTTTATTGTTTCCATTAATTATTTTACTAATCGTAGATATACTCATGATAAACCAATATTGGCTTCAAGTAAAGTTTACATTCAGTCATTTCTTTAAATTAATGTTTTGGCATTCGAAATAAAATGACACTGTAATAGTGTAAATGTAACATAAAAATGATAAAAATAAATGTTTGTCTCATATTCCAATGTCAAACCGCTTCAAGAACATTTTAGTAAATTTACATTATTTTTAAAAGTGTAATCTATCGGTGAATAGAAGTTAACAAGGTATAATTTTTATTTTGGCATCTGCATGCTTGACACCTCAATAAGTGTTGGATAAAACCAATAGATGGCAGAAAATAATGCCATCTATTAGAATACAGGTAAAACTTTTGTTTTCCGTTTCATGTCCGTATAGTAGTACCACTAGGATTGCCTAGATGGCGTGAATTCTCACCTTGTTACTGTTGTGACATGACGAACGATATTTGTTGGGAACATTTAGGATGCAAACTAGAATTCGAGCAATGCATAGATGGCAGTGACAATTTCTTCAAAATGACTATCGATGAAACTAGAGGTCACTGTGTGCTTTATTTGAAATAATTTCATTACATAGAATTTATTAAAATGTCTTTATATGAGAAGAAAAGACTTGTGTGAACTGTAAAATTTGTTTTGTGTCCGGCCGCACCGGAGTGTCACCTGTCTCGGGTCGTTTACAGCGGCCACATCACCCCAAGATTTGGCCGCAGCGATCCTTGGGCAGCGACTGGGACTGAAGGAGACCGCTGCTACCCTTCCCTCGCCACTTGCCAACATTACCGCGAACAATGCTGGCGTTGACAAGTTTCGTCCAATCTGTCCGACCAGGACTCGACCCATGTCGAGCAGTCTTCCAGCGTGTGCTGGGCGGAGTCCCTGTCGGACCCAAAGTGGTGGCATGCCCGGTGAGCATCTGTGTCAATCGGTAGAGGTGACACAGTCGTTCTCCCTACCCACGCTTCGTAGCTCGGCAGGACGACTCCGACGTGGCGTTGGTTAGCACAGCCCTGGATTTGCTTGCCCAGCCGTGCTTGCTACGTCTGCGTTCCGTAGTAGCATTCCGGGTTCATGATCCGGCGCGGCCTCTTCAACATTCCGACCGACAGAGCGAACTTGGTCATAGACCATCGTGTCCATGTCGGCCAGAATGTCGAGGGGTGGATATCGCGCCAGGACCGTCGCCGCCTCAAACGAGGTCGTACGATAACCCCCCGTACGATCCGCATGGCCATCAACCGCTGTAGGCTTCTGAGTAGAGCCTTACAGCGGGAGACACCCGGCAGGTCATTAGTCCTCAAATTATGTTCCTACTCAAATAATAGCGGGCTTTAATTTTTTTTAAAGTATTTATTAATTTGGCTAATTTACAGCATACTCGTATAAAACATTTATGGTAAAATCTTTGTAATAAGGTTCTAATATACATGCCACTTACGAGCTAACACAGCATGATATTTCTATAGTGGGGATTATATCGCACGGATTTTAATAAGTATTTTATATTATTTTTTTGTATAATAAATTCTTTATTTAAAACTAAAAACACAGATTACAATAATTCAAATGTGTTTGATAATGACTGCATTAGTGAAACACTGTGGCGCAGTCACTAACGCCCAAAAGTTGACCAAAAATGTAGATACATTAAGGAATAGCTTATTAAGTTATTATTGTTTAGTTCCAGTACTTTCTTTTATCGTCCTTGAGGGACGATAGATCATTGTTCGTCACCTACGGGGTTAAATATCAAAACTCTTCATGATAGTGATGGCCACTTAGCAACTCAAAATGTAAACAAAAAAAAATTGGTGACAATACTTACTTTCCCTTTCTATATGAATGCTATTAAGGGTCTAGGTAGGATAAATAAGTAATGCAAACTTCAAAACCTTATAAATAGTTTATTACAATTTAATTTCATTCATTTTCTGTATATAGAAGACACATGTAGCCTTTATTTATATATATAAGTAAGTACACAATATAGGAAGACATCGAGATCAAAACAATACATGGCACATAAATAATGTTGTTCAGTACCTATCCGTTAACAGTTTTAAAGAATAATAAGGCACTTATTTACTTATACTACAATAATAAAACTACATACATAAATTAAAACAAATTAAAGCTTTTTCGTGGAAGAAGAGACTATTAATATCACAATTGGCGAATGTCACGACACTTCACCACGGGCGCCACTTATTTTCTTCATCCGCCGGCGGGCCTTCGACTTTTTTGTCGCACAACGCTTCGAGTTCACGGCGGGCCGCCTCCTGCTTTTTGTACTCCTGGTACTCGATTAATTTCCTTTTCTTTTTAGGCGGTAGGTTGCTGTAATCCATGAGCAATTCGCATCGTTCCGGAACATTAGGAATCACTTCCACTTTGCTTTTTGGAGTCGGATCTAATTGATTAGTGCCGGAGAGGGCGACTGACTTTTTTGGTGAGTAAACAGTTTCGCTAGACTTCACTGGTGATCTAACCTTTCTGAGATCGAGTGTGTCAGTGTTTGCGGTTGGCGGCGAATATTGATACGCAAACTCGGCTCTGTATGGTTCTTCTCTTTGTAAATATTTTGGTTGGGGCGCTGGTTCTGCGCTCGCATTCATGTCAACGATGTCGTTACCACGTTTGTCCATTATGTGTTGTCTAATTTTTTGTAATATAACATCTTTAGCTTCGGCCTGAACTCTCTTGAAATACGCTCCATTTCTCGGTGCGATGTGATCGACAGGATGATGGTTTAGTTTATCAATCGTTGTAAGTAATCCTGTAGGTGGTAATTGATGATTAGGTCTCACAGCAGGTGCCTGTCGATTGTACCCCCATTGTTTGGGGGCCTCACCGGAGTATACTGAATCTTCAGCGTCCGACGAGGATCTGTCATGGTCACTGTAATAATGATGTCTGTCGGAGATAACTGATGACGGTGAAGTTGGCGGTGAGAACGGAGGTCTTTCTGGTACTTGAATGGTCAGAGGTTGTGCGGTGACGAGTCTTGATAGGTGACTTACCAGGTTTTGGCTGACATTAGCATCTAAATCCGGTACAGACATAATAAACCGGCAAGCTTCAGCGGCACATTGACCGAAACCGGCTTGAAATTTCTTTGCTTCCAAAACCGGGTCTCTAGGACTGTGCAACTTCGTAAGATGGTTAACGGTTAACTCAAGGATGTCTGCCTTCTCCAACTTGCTCAGGTTGTCGTCATCGATCTGTGTAAAAAGATAAAAGTGAGTAAAGTGGGAGGCAGGTGCGCAGTTTGTTTCTCACGGTACGGACGTCATGCGTATTAATATAACTGTATATGTACGGGTAAGTGACTCCTGTTCCTTAATGGAACTTGTATTTTTATATTCCAGTTTAGAGTCGGGGTGCTCGATAAGTGCAATAATAAATAGAAGGACGACCTGTTCGATAAAAATAAATTTCGAACGAATGATAAACGGCAATTTGCCGAAGTAAATACGGATAGGCGATATTTTTTTTTGTAACACTGTTGATCTAATATGTTATTAATAAGGTTTTTTGTATGGTAGAAGATTGACAATGTTTGCATTTAAAAATAACAAGTAGTTGTCAGTTTGGTGTCATTATCAATTCAATGTCAACTGATCTGTCACGAAGTAATCGAGCCGTTGTTAAAACAATGGTAGGTAAATAGCCATTTATATCCAGAAATATTGTTTTTGTTTGGAAAAAAAAAAGTAATACTAATATTACTAAACTATCATTTAAAATTAAAATAAACAAACCTCCAAAGCGCCGACCATGAGGTCCTTAAGTTCATCCAAACACCGGTTGATGCGCGCACGGCGTTTTCTTTCCAAGAGTGGTTTGGTTATCTTCTTGTATTTCGCTGTCTTCGACAGCGGTGCTGGGTCCGACGACATTCTCAAATCTAATGAATAATTTTCTGATTATAGGTTTTGAGTTAATTAATTATTTAATTTGCTCAAGTATTTTTATTGAAAATTGCATGTAAAAGTTTATTTAAACAGTTATTAGTTAATAACAATTATTTTAAAATTTAACGTTTAAAATATTTTAAATTCCAAACGCATTAAACATTCAAGACAGTTTGCATACGATGAAGAATTCCAAAACATAAAACGGCGCCTAACTTCAGGTAAAGATATCAAAAATTGTCGGCGTTTAAACTAAGTTAGAATACATATATATATAGTATAGTATAGAATAAAATAAATATTTATTGTCTAAACTTACAATTTATAAAACTTCCAAAACTGACACTTAACACACACAGTCTTTAAAATGAGCACAATATAATGGTGGGAACTTGTAAGCACAGGACGCGCGTCGCCGCCCGCGCCTTGGCTCGTACTGCCTGAAAAAAGCCTTCGCCCCGCGCCCCGCACACCTCGGCCCTTCCCCACCCTTGCCCTGTCCCATTCATACACTGCGCAGGAGCACGTGTGGCCCAACGATCGAGTTTCAAGCATGCGTAACATACTTTCCCAGGGAATTCTTGGAGATTTGTGAACACTTTGGTTTTTTGTGCCATATGAAATATTTTAATAACTCTCTGTGGTTATATAAACAACATTGTAAGTTCATAAGGTATTTCATGACGCTCCTGGAAATGCAGAGGGCACGTGAACATTTTTTTCTGAGAGATGTGATAAAGAATGTCGGTGCGATGGTTTTGGTGCGCAGGTAACTAAACATATTTAGCTAACAGGAATTTAAGGTCTGTTATAACGTTAAAGACATGATATGACAAAATCTTATTTAAGCTTACACAATAACAGGGATTTAAATAATTTTATAGCTCTCAGATTAATACTTGATGTTGTATAAATACGTACATAAGAACGGTCGCGATTATCATTAGAACTTTTATCGTGTTTTGTGTCGGGAAAAAGGCATTTTGACTTGTATTTGTATCTTTTTTGTGGGTGCTCTGTACTTACTCCAGAAGGAGAAAAGTGTAATTTTATATTATGATCTATACACATAAAAATTACGCTTGACTATTTGTTTATTTATTATTTGATTACTATTATTAATAATATTATTATATATAATATCCATAATCCATACTGATTAAATAAAATTATAATTTCATCAGAAATTACAAGAATAAAAAAGAAACTTTTTGTTGAAAGCATTATTTTTGTATTAAGATTCTGATTTTTGTATCAGTAAGCTCTGAAATTGTTCGACTTTAAAGAAACTTTTAATGATGTTTTATGGAGAAGTAAATATTAATGTTTATATTCTAATTTAATTTATTTCCTATTAATTTGCATTTTATTCTAAGATTTGTTTTATTTCAGTGTCCTTACCTATAGACAAGTTGTTTACCAGTTTTTATTACTTTTTAGTAACTAGTAAGTTTACTCATGTACAATTAAAAATGACAGAAACCTGTAAATTCTGTCTGTAATTCCTATAACTTGAGGATTTTGCATTTATTTCTATTACACATTTATATTTAGATTTTAATATTAAAAAATTAAGCTTATGATTTATTTTCTAATGTATTCTATTGTTTATTTTTGAATTCCCATATTTACGCATTATATTATCATTCAAAATTTTGTTTTTGTAAGCATTAATCACCAACATAATTTTAGTAAATATTTCGACAATTCAATGCTTTAATGCACTTTGATCTTAGATTTCCGGCCTCTTTATTAAATGCCAAAATCGTTTAGTCTATACGATTTTACCCATATAAAATAATGAGTTATGACGCCATATCAAACATTAGCGCAATCATTTAATCTGATTATGTAATTTATTAACTTCAAATTACAAAACAAAGCTTTTGTTGCAAAACAAAATCTTTCTGTAATCTTTAATTTATTTATTTCAACTATAAGAAACTAACCTATTATATTCGTAATATTATATGCTAAAAATGTAAATGCATATGAATAATAGATACATATGTATATGTATATGCCTGCTATGCTTCTTCGTATGTATACTTCTGGCGTATGTAAAAAAGACGTTTATTAAGTATAGTAATACTTGCACGCTGTTAGTCAGGAAAATCAAAATTATAAATAGTATAAAACACTCATGCGCTTGTACGCATGTATGCGAATATTGCATACATGCGTGTATATGCACATACGCATGTAAGTGCGTGCTTATACTTTTAAGACCATGGTTGATACTTTCGTAACTGTATTTATTTATTCACAGTATAAAGCAAACACCGTGTCTATTATCTTCCGAACATTGTCCATCAAAATAATAGATTTTATTACCCATAATGTAATTTAAAAACCAAAATATAATCAGTGTTACCATGTTAACGGTGTTTTTTTCTAATTGATGTCGCCGCTTTCGGGATCGGACATTGGCGGTGTTTTCTTAAAGTGACTTAGACAAAGAGTCTACATAAAAAGTCGTACGTAATAAATGGCGTGGGCCAAAACGAGCCAAGTTAAACGGGGCTTGTGCAGTCCCTTTTTTTTCTTGTAATGTCCAGGTAAAGGCACAAGCCATGCTTCAGATTAGTCCGTCTTTTGTCATTTCGAATGTCTTTAAAATTGCCTTTCAAAAACTTTATAATTATAGACCGGTTTTATATTCCTTTAATTTTTTGTTTAGAAAAAGTGGTTCAAAAATTAAAAAAAACCTTTTTTGTTTAATTTTAGATTATTTTTAAATGTACTTTAATAATTACTAATGGGTCTATTAAAACCAACCACAGAATTTAGTTTTACAAGTTAAACGCACTTTTCCTAATTCCTAGGGTTTATTAAAACTACCTAATCCATGGAATTTATCTATTATATACCGTACACGCTACAATTCCAGTTACCTAAACTCTCTGTTTGAGCCAAATTTGATTTATACGAGTATCTCATTCATTTTCTTTAAAGAGTAATTTTTTAAGGCTTTTCCACTGTTGCTAGCGCTCAGCGGCTAACTGTCCCCATAAGGATATCTAATATTAAATATATTTCACTGTTTTCCTGATGTCTATCTTTTTATGACAATAAACATTATTATTATTTGTCGCACTTCATATTATGTAACTGGGAAAATCAGACTCGACTCTTAATTCTGGGTAATGTTACATTTTATTAGAAAATTCTTATGAATCATTATTGATACATAATTATTATTAATTGTATGCAATATGCTAATGACATAAAGTATTGATCACCTAACAATTTTAATGAAACCATTTTTTTAATACTTAATTCTTACAACTAACAGATTTGTAATTTTTTTTTATATTTGATAATCAACAGTAACTGATGAATATTGTACCTAATTGTTTTTGTTTGTTTTTTTAAATGTCTCACCTCCAGGCCTGCGCTTATGGAGGATGGAGGTCGTTCTGCGACCTCCGGCGTCCGAGTCGTCTGCGGTACCTCGCCTGTTCCCGGGCCTGGCGGGCTGGGAGAGTTCTACACCTCTTCCGGTCCCGCTCCGCCATCTCCTTCGCAAGCATAACTTGCTCGCAGAAGGAGACGGCTGAGTTCCACGCACTCTCGCTCCGTACCATGGCGGTAATTTGGCCAGAGTGGCATTAAAGGCTGTTATGGATAGCAGTATATTGTTTACTTGATGGTTTATTTTAAGTCTTCTTCTTCTGCCTCGCCTTACGTTACGCGGGATCGGTGTTTCTAACCATGCGACGCCATTTATTTATTCCTTGAAATACTTGTTCGTGGAGTCCCAACACCTTCATCCCGCATCCTTGTCATCCAAGTTGCTTCGGGCCTTTCCCTTTACCTTTTTTGTAGCGATGGAAAGGCACTTTTAGCTACATGATCTTCTGGAGTTGATTGATCGGTTTATTGCATGAATATAAACTTAATTATATACCTAAAACTGACTCAATGTCAGCCTTATGTAATAAATTTTGCAGGAAGTGTTAAATAATAGTCGCATGTGCAGTAGCACACAGGAGTACCTGTAAGTACTGAGATTATAATCTCGATAGTTATTCTTAAAAATTTAATGGCAATGAATTCTCTTAAATACAATAAAGATAAATTAACTTTATGGGATAGTTAAAATAATAAATACATTTACATCTTTTATCCCCGAACGGGGCCGACAGAGTCGTTTTAAACGCCCACAGTATGCCGACTATAATTCCAGTCAGTACAAATGATGATACATATATATTATAGATAAATTACACCCGGACACAGAAGAAATAATCGTGCTTATCACACGATTATTTGTCTTGAGTGGGAATCGAACCCACGATCTCTGGCCTAGCAGTCAGGGCGATTAACCACTAGACCAAATATCCCGTCGCTTTATATCATCATAGAATATACATTATATGTCGGTATTTACGATTTACCTTTTCAATTAATTGTGTTAAGAAAGTCATCAATCATCATGTCAGTGGGTGTGTGTGTGTGTGTATGTGTATGTGTGTGTGTGTGTGCGTGCGTGTGTGTGTGTGTGTGTGTGTGTGTGTGTGTGTGTGTGTGTGTTGTATGTGTGTATCAACCTAGAGTGGCGTATATTTAATAGTGTATCAATCTATATACATAAAAATGTTAAATTGGTTTGGGTACGATTCAAAAACTCAAAAACTGATTGTGCTCTAATTTTCACACGGTGTACAACCCCCCTTCAAAGGTTGTTTTTATCTAATTTTTGCGTCAGTTATATGAAATAGGTCATTCTCAGCAAAAACAATGTGTCACAGCGAAGCGTGGCAGGGTACAGCTAGTTATTTAGAAAATGATACTTAATGTATAACATATCAGACAAGGTTGCCGTATAAATTCATGATCTTTTCCATAGAAAATGTACCCCAAAGTTAATTTACTCCGGATACAAATTATATAAGGCCGGCAACGCTTGTGACTCCTGAGATGCAGGCGTTCATCGGCGGTAGTCACTTTCCATCAGGTGACCCGTCTGTTCGTTTGTCCCCTCTTCCAGAAAAAAAGCAATACTTGTTCCCATACCTGTCATTCAGGTCTGGAGACGCAACAAAACCAGTTATCGGTTTATAGGTAGTTTGTCATATACTGAGAGCCGACTCCGTCAATTTAGTCTATAAATAATGCGTACGCAAACGGAACTCTAGTCTCAACAATGACACACGCTAAATAAAAGTGCTAGGATAAGCTGTATTTGGTTTTATTAGTTTCCAGATAAGAAATTACATTGAAATCCACTGATATATTTTATTCTAACTATGTACCTAGTTATTATAGTACAGTTTTTTTTTAAAGATTTATGTGTAATATCTGTCATTAATCGCCACTTTTCCAATATCGCTGCGCAGGTGCCAAATTTATAAAAATATCAAATTTTAAAACTCCCGAGAAACTTTCCAGGTAACCTGTTGTTTCCAACTAAATGATTTAATATTAAATGAAATACATACATGATAATTGTTCAAAGAGTAAAAGCACAGACAAGATCGGCGGTTTATGTAATTTATAGGCTGCCTTATGAAACTGGCAATCTCTTACAGGCAACCATTAATGAATGTTTTTGACTGCAATGCAATGCAACTGCTGTGCTGAGGTCTCGGGTTTGATGCCCGGGTTGGACCAA